AACATGAATTAAATAGAAGTTATGTAACAAGGGCGGGTCTAGGGGACCATTGCACTTAGCCATAACCTTTTTCATAGGCGCCGGAATTCAAAAATTGCTTTGGGTGTCCGGCTTCTATGCGGAAAATGGGAGCTATCCCCCCACCCTTCACACCTCACTTAAAGGCACCACCGGGTTTTAAAAAAGCTAGTTTAAAGTTGATTTTATGAAAATTTTCTTGAAAAAAAAAAGGTATTGTCAACTGTGCACTTGCTGGATAGGCTCCCACCTAAAACGGGATATCTAGCAACCCTATATGGTCGGTGCAGCTACCTCTGGTATTTTGAAGGTATTTTTACATAGATTATAACCCCAAGTTTTAAATCGCTACTGTCTTCCTAGCCATGATCTTTTAACGATTTTTATTTTTTGTAAAAGCTTACCAGTTACACGAGTAAATGCTAGAAATGGTGACCCTGTGCCTCCATGCAATAATAAAGGTTTTGTTCAAAATGCTCTCGGACATTTTGAAGCATCTGTGGGGTGATTTGATGACATTCATCAATTATCCGTTGTCACATATTTTTCAGTGATGTTGGCTGGGTGACATACATTTTAGTTTTTAAGTGGCCCCATAAAAAAATCTAACATGATTAGGTCCGGAAACTGTGGGGACCACTCAATACTTCCTCTTCTTTCGATCCTGGAAACCTGGAAATGTTTGATCCAAATACTGACGAACAGTGGCGCACCGTCATGCTGGAATATTAAGTTGTTTGCTATGTACTGGTCGTCATTCTCAAATCAACTCTAGTAAAGCGGGATACATAGCGTTTTATAATAATTCCAGATACATTTCTGCGGTTAAAGTTTCTGGTTAAAAATGGGGTCCATTATACGGTTACCAAAAATGCCAGCCCAAACATTCAGTTTTTCCGGATGTTACATATGCACTTCATGAAATATTGTGGGATTTGGATCGGACCAATAACCACAGTTGTGGCGATTTACCGTACCATTTGGGAAAAAAGTGCATTCGTCTGAATAACACACGTTGAAAAGAAATTGCTGATCATTTAATGCCCATTCAATCATAATTTCACAAAATTGTAATCGCCTATCAAAATTGTCTTCGTTAAGTTTTTTTACCAGATGTATTTTGTAGGGATGAAACTTGTGTTTTTTCAATAACTTCTGAATGCTACGTCTCTTAATACCATATGTTTTCGCCAATTATCTTGTACTCAATATGAATTCTTGAACAACATGTCCTACATTCGCCACCTCTGTAGCTTCATTTACTACAGAATTTTCCGTTTAACGTTATTTGTTAGCTACTAACCCCGTTTTCCAAAATGTTTGGACTCACTTCAAAATGTAATTTCGATGGATTTCGATTTTGATGTTGATTTGTTAAACAGTTCTATTAGCATGTTCGCAAAAAAAGTGAAATTATTTACAACCTCTCAGCAATAGAGTAAATCATTATCACTGATATGCCACTTTATGCGACTCTACAACGAAATAAACTAAACCTTACTACTTTACGCCGACCAAAGAATGTCATCAGATAACAATAATTGAAAGCCACAGGAATTGTTACAAAGAATTCCTTTTTTTTAATAACAATGTAAAAATTATGTTAAACCGGTTTTGTATTTTTGGTGAGCCACTGCATGGGCTACATAGATAGTAGCGATATAAAACTTGGGGGTTATTATCTAGGTAACAAGTATTAGAAATTAAAAATTAAATAAAACCCGACTTCAAAAACGTGTAGATGCCATCACCACATCTTAACCAAATTTATATGGAACCACCTCTGATGTACCCGCTTACTAACAAAAAAAGAATCATATTAATCGGACAAGGTAGTAAAGCATTATCGTCAAACATACATAAAAAATGAAGAACTTGAGGATTTTCTCATAGACCCAATTATTAGATTTTGACCAAATTTATATGGGACCACCCCTGAAGTACCTCCTTTCTAACAAAAAAGAATTATTGAAATCGAAGAGCGTGTTAAAGAATTATTGCTGAACATACATAAAAAAAAATATTGCGACGAATTGATAACCTCCTCCCTTTTTTGAAGTCGGTTAAAAATACCTTCAAAATAACATATCATTTGACCAATCTTTCCATTTAAGAAATAACTGGTGAGTCTCACCCCCGATAGAGAGTTTCCGCTCAGTGGGTGAAACTGCCAGAACAATATTTGCCCCTAAAATCCAAAATTGACGGGTCCAAGCATTTTTTAGTAGATGAACTGGTTTCTCGCCAGCAATACTAGAGAGTTGTTTCTAATTCTACATGAACGTTCTTTTCTAACGGTGCTTGATCGGAAGCAACTTTCAAATGTTCTCTCTTTTCCCCTCAAGCATTTGCTCAATGGCATATGTACAATATGGATCTTGTCTTGATAATTGTAGACCGTTATTTATTAATCTTTCTTTTTGACATCATAGGGTTTTGTACACCAAGAATAATAAATCCTTAAGTCCAAGTTCAACTCGCTGTATATAACAAATCACGGCGACTTTTTTATCACAAAAAATGCAGCTCCGAACGATAATATTTTATTGAGGCATCTATCGTCATACCAACTTGGGTCACGACAGCTTCTTTGTTTCACTTATTGACCCTTTTTGTCCTCGTTGTGCCGTGGGTGCTCCGCACCCTGTTTAAAGCTGCTCTGGGTGCTTGAGCATCCAGAGCCCCGGGCATTCGGCTCCTATGACCTTTTTAGCATTTATATACATTTTAATAAAAGGCACATAGATTGTAAGAATTTTAATCTCGGGACTGCCATGGGGGCCTTGGCCTCCTCCCTTAATATGAAATTAAAAAAATATTAAATAATAGGTATTATGTGGTAGTCAAATTATTTAACTATTTCGTTTGCTATTTTTTAACAATTTTCATTATTTATTATCCACTGCGTGCGTTAGAGAAGCGTTTCTTAAACTATTTGCCACAGAATTCTGCGGCTTCGAGGAGATTCCTCAAGGGATTCGCGAATTTTACGTGCTTTTTTCATAGCATTCAAGAAAGTACTTATGATTTAAAAAAGCATTGAACATTAATGATGAAACTAAAAAAAAATAGAATAACAAACCCTTGGTTCATCCACTTAGCTACTGAGCTGGATATAAATATTATTTGAAATAATAGTATTTTGGTTGCAAATAATTCAGTTAGAGTTAAATTAAAATCATATTATGAAACAGAGCGTTCCATTTATTAAACAGATTAAAGTTACGAATACCCTTTTGTATAAAAGACGTTTTTTGTGTACTACGTTTTACGTATGAATACAGTTGATATGCTACCCAAAATATACGTGAAAATGTCCGCGCTAGAAACGTATATACATCGTCTTTCAAATTTGGCCAAAAATGGCCTACTTGAGAAACATTTTTTTATCACGTTATGTATAGAAAAATATTTTATTTCCAAAAGTAAAAAATAAAATTCTAATTAACAAACTCACCAGGATCTTTATTTAACAAACAATATAGGTATATCAAAATAAAAATCTTAAGTCGTCACTTTGATGTGTTGTTCCAGACGTGCCATAACAATGTTTAAGCCAGTCTTATATGTCACATTTAATGGTTCGGTGGTCTATTAAATCGCTTGTTAGATACACCATCATTCCTATAGGCATGCCTTATGGCTTCTACAACAGAACCGTTTTTTATTATAAAGGTCATATCAGTGTTAAAAGAAACTTACCAAAAATAACTTCCGTAACGATACAATTTTTTAATGGTTGCTTATCACGGCCTGACTGGGAAAATTTAATGGCAACTGAGGTATTTCGTAATGTCCATGGTAGGTACAATTCCTAACGTTTACTCTGCCGATGCAGGCCAAGCGTATTTTCTGTAAAAAGGAATTATTATAACCACAGCCAGGGCTATTTTCGACATTTTAAGAAATAAAAATCAACTGACGAATAAAATATGGAAAATGAATGAGATATGAATAAATAGATGGCCTAAAAAACCAAGTTAGAAAGTAAGGTTATGTTTTAGAATTTCTATAAGCATCTTACACACTATACCTACCTATAAAAGAGCAGTTGTAAAATGCAGGAATTATTGAGGGAATAGCTAAAATAAAACACGTGTACACAAATGAGTAAATTCCCGGATTCAAGTGGGGGCCCGGCAGTTTTAGGTGAGGACATTTTTTATATTTTTAGAAGTTCGCCACAAGAGGTAGGACCTTTTTTGCTTAAGGACTTTTTTTTGCTGAAAGACCTTCTTTTTTTGAAGAAATTGACTGAATAGAAGGAGAAGTTTTTACTAAAAGACCTTTTTTTGTTTTTAGAAATGTGATATTGAAACGGCTTAATTTTTTTTATAAAATTGTCACGGAGCCCGACTTGGAAAATATTCCCGTGACCCGACCTGGATCTCGATGGCCCTGATCCCAATACGCACATATACAAGAGCAGGGGCGTGCGGTCCATGGAAGCGGAAAAAGCACCGCTTCCCTACACTTTGAGATTAAAAAATAAATATTTTTCAGTTTACAATGCATAGAAATTAATATTAAATTAGGTACTAAATTTTTTCTGAAACATTACGTAAACTTCGTAAATGTACTAACAATTCATTGGTGTAATGTGTAAACGCACGCACCACTCATGAGAAAATTAATTGTGTAAACGCACACACCATATAGGTACTTCAAGTCTATCTGCGGAAGCGCGTCTTGAAAAAGCCGGCTCATCTTCCAATTGATTTCGCTTCGTGTTATTGACCCTGCTTTGCCGCAACAATAGTCAGTCTGTTTGGGGGCACGTGAAATACGGTCGAGAGGCAGCGATTTTTACGTCGCCTTACGCATAATGCAATTCGCACCGCGAATCGACGTGTTAGGAAAATCGTAGACTTCAGATAGATTTCGGTTTATTTTTGGTAGTTGTTTTTGTTTTTGTAAAATGGAGGAACCATGCACTGTGCCTGTGAACAATAATAGTTACAAGTAGAAATTTTGAAGAGTAAATGGACATTATTAATTCTAGTAGACTAAAGGATCCTACCAATTTAGAGACGAAAGTAGAAAAGTCAGCAGAGAAATTTACCAGGCATTTTCACGTAGGGTTCTATGAAAAGTATGAATGGTTAACCGGCTGCAAAACTTTAAAGAAATTGTTTTGCTGGCCTTGCCTACTTTTTAATATAGCCGAAAAAACATATTGGTACTCAGTCGGTATTACAGACTTGAATAATTTTCATAAAAGTATAAAACGACATGTAAATAGCAAATCTCATATAGGTAAGTGCTACAATTAAATAACATATTGAACATAGTTTGGACAATCATTTAAGGAGGTCCTTTCGCCACCAATGTTGAATAAAAAATATTAGATTATGACTAAAATTAATTTTTTTCTAATAGTAGATGTCCTTATTTATCTAATAGTGAACTTTTAACTACTCGTATACCTTACCGTGCAAATTTTTGAAAAATTTTTTTTTTAAATGTGTGTGTTTGTACAGTCTTATGAGAAAGTAAGACTTCAACAACAATTTTCGAATTATAATTAATTTTACTATTATTTATTGATTAGATGGAGTAGAAAAAAACTAAAAATAAGGTTTTTGAAATATTTAGGTTTTGTTTTTTACAATAAAATATATAGGTTACCGTGGAATTTATTGAGAAATTATTATTAAAAAATCACAAAAAATTTTCAACTTGGTTACTTGAAATTTTTTTGTGATTATTTAATATTAATTTCTCAATAAGTTCCACGGTTTACTATATATATTTTATTGTATAAAACAAAATCTAAATATTTCAAAAACCTTATTTTTAGTTTTTTTCTACTCCATCTAATCAATAAATAATAGTATAATTCGAGAATTGTTGTTGAGGACTTACTTTCTCGTGAGGCACTGTACAAATACTCACATTTAAAAAAAATTCTCAAAAATTTGCAAGGTAAGGTATAGTTAAAAGTTCAGTATTAGATAAATAAGGACTTCAACTATTAGAAAAAAATTAATTTTAGTCATAATCTAATAACTTTTTTTTAACATTTGAGGCGAGAGGTGTGGCGAAAGGACCTCCTTAAAAGCAACAAAATTCACAAAGAAAGGGTAAAAAAATAGGACGTCTTACAACGATTAACAAATGTAACTTGTTTCCTGGGAGAGCATGAACTAAGTTTTAGGGGTCACAATGAAACAAGTGTATCCGCTAGTCGAGGAAATTACATGGACCTTCTAAGTTTTTTTGCAAAATACGATGATACCCAAAAAAATCATTTTATTGATTCGACGAATTTCCGAGGTACCTCAAACAGAATCCAAAATGATTTAATTAAATGTACTGCCGACGTTGTGATGGATCACATTAAAAGTGAAATTAAAAAAGCACCTTTCGTATCACTTGCGCTTGATGAAACCACAGATGTAGCAAACTTAAGTTAATTATCCATTAATGTGCGATATGTATTGGATGGTATTCCTTAAGAGCGATTCTTAGGATTTTTGGACGTCACTAGCGAACGAACTGCAGATGCATTGTTTAAAATTATTTCTGACATTATTTCAAGTTTAGAATGTGGTTTTACGCTTGTTGCCCAGAGCTTCGATGGTGCTGCCGTAATGGCTGGCCGTTTAGGAGGCCTTCAAGCTAAAGTGAAAGAGAAATTTAAACATGGAATTTTCGTTCACTGTATAGCACAAAGACTTAATTTGGTTTTATCGCGAAGCATGGATAATATGAAAGATTGCAAAGTTTTCTTTTCGACGCTTAGTGGTTTGGCTTCCTTCTTTTCAAAGTCATCGAAAAGAACTCGCGCTTTGAACATTCACGTTCAAAAAAGGTTTCCAAAAGTTGCTCCGACGAGATGAAATTACAATGGACGTTTAGTGTAAACAGTGTTTCAATACCGTGATTCTTTGATACACTTTTTCAAGAGGTTTGGGATAATAAAGCAACATGGGATGCTGAAACTGTTACTGCTGCTAAAGGGTTTGGTTCAAACAAAACTTTAATTTCAATTTTTTGCTCAACATTTTTGCTGACATTTTATTCGACATTTTACAGACAAAGTTAAATGATATTGGCTTATGCAATAAACAAATTGATGATTTTAAAAATAAAATAAATAAAAAAGAGATTAGTTTGAACACTTTAGGAATAACACTCAAAATATTGGCTTAGAACCTGAAAGAAAGAGAATTAGAATTGACAATGTCGGCGACAGAGAGACCTCCTATCGTCGATTATATACCAACATTTTTGGAAATATTTTACAACAAATGAACTCTTGATTTCAAAACTTTAACGAATTAAAATTTGTTGAATTGTGCAATTTTAATATTAGTAACTACGATTCATCAAAATTTTCATCGGAAGCTTTTAATTCACCAAAATTAAATTATGGAAATTTTTTTCGATATTCCAGCATTAAAGTCCCAGTTAAGTGTTGTTTATTAAATAACTGAAATTAGCGATAAAAAGACGCCCATCAATGTGTTAAATTTTCTCATAACAACTGGTTTAAAAAAGTCCCTTTGTGAAGTCGTCAAATTTTTTGAATTAGTACTAACCATCCCAGCCACAAGTGCGACAGTTGAGCGAAGTTTTTCAGCTTTAAAGCGCATTAAAGAATTTTTACGAAATTCAACAAGTGAAGACAGACTAGACTCTCTAATTTAGCCTCAATATATATTGAAAAACAGCTTGTTAAACAGTTACCAGAAAATTCAAAATTTTACGACGATGTTATAGACAAATTTGCAGCCATTGAGGATAGGCCAATAGATCGTAAATATAAACAAATTTCAACTGCTGTGTCAACTGTGCGAAAAATGCTGGAAAAAATAAAAAAACTTCTGTTAAATGTTTTTTTTTTACGTTTAAATAAACCAACCGCACGCCACTGTACAAGAGTAAAACTATGAATGCTATGTTTCATCCGCCTTATCTAATTTTTTTGTGTGTATGAAGAATTTGTTATAAATGATGATATAATAAAAAAATATGGATGTAATATAAATAAATATACCAATAAGCATTTAATATAAATAGACCTAAATGTGTACATATTATTTACTTCTGTCTACTAGTTTATCGCCAACTGGAAATATGCTTATAAAGTAAATTATATTTAAAAGTATAATATACAATAACTAGTATCTAAAAAGAAAAAACGTTTAATTTATCCGTTAAAAACCATCAAGTATAAAAATAGTAATTGTTAAACGTTTTAGAAATCAACCAGAACGAAATTTATATGAATTTAATTTAAATAAACCTAAACGTATATTTAGGTACACTGTCTACAAATAGTTCATCGTATACTAAACATAGTCGTTTATTATTAAATATATTTAAACGTAGAATAATTCACAATTATATACCATAGGACGTATAAAAAAACCTAATATATCATTTAAAAAACGGTATGTATAACAATCGTAAACTGTAAACGTATACGGAATAAACCAATACCAAATATAAATGAAAATTACGAATAAAATACGTTAATTATATCAATGTGTGCTGCCTGGGTGTATAATGCACTATATCTGCCTGATCTAGAAGAGGCAACGTATTGTAACATAATTCAAAGGGAACTAAACCTAGGAGCATATCAAATAGAAGAGGAAGATTTGCCTAACTTGAAGAAGCTCCAAATTCTCCACTTCCTCGTAAAGAAAGAAATAGAAGGGTCGTTATAGGCATTGAGACATTTCGTTGCTGCATTAGCCACAGAGGGGGCACAATATATATTTTAGATCGCAGTGTATTAACACCTCATTCCCAACGTAACATAACATGGTTAATGCTAATTTCAAACCTACTGTTCAATTTCAAAAAAAGCAATTTCTAATCAAATTAATTAGAATAAAAAAGTGTCACTCTTTTGAATAAAATTTTATAGAGGCATTTTTAATAATTACCAAGTTTTCATCACCATTTATAATCCCCCTTTATGTAATTTAATTTTGCACACATAAATGAAAAAATTATATCGATTTCTTTCACTTCAACTCCCCAGAAATTACCCCAAACTCCGCGGTTGACATGATAAACTTCATGTCAAAAAGATAATAGAACAGTTGAACGTCTTTGTCGGGATCAAATGAGTGTTCTTAAATCAAACTCCAATATGGCGTCGCTAATCGACCGGAAACTTAAGATTAGAGTTCGCTCTTCCTACTCCTTCCATTTCAGCTTTAGAACCTCAAAAGATATCACACGTGTCGACATACAAATATATTCGTTCTGGTGTAAAAGAGTTTTATTTTTTTTGCCGAGATACTCTGGTAGAAAAGGCAGAATATCATTTTTCAATGTTTTGATATCTATACACTATTGAAAATGTGATGAATTGTGAATTTGTAAGTAATGATGGAATGGTCTATATATTTTTTTCATGTGATATAGGTTCAGTCACAAGTAATATACACTCTCGAAATGATTCAGCATTTCTTTTATAGAAAATAGGGGTTCTTATGTAAACGTTTTGAAAAACATATTGCCCCTTCAGAGATGAAACAAATTATAAATTTTCTTGATAAATGTTGTATATAAAAAAAAATTCTTTACTTGATCGTATTGTAATTTTATTTAATGTGCATACTAAATAACAGATTGGGAAGTTAGCATAGTGTGTGATATAGGATAACAGTGTAGCGGCAGTTAGCTGCAGATAAATATATAAAGCGTGAAATATCGAGATAAAAAAATTGGCACAGAGCCGGATGAACGACATACATTTTGTAAATAAAAAAAAACATTTCTACGGCTAACTAATAAAAGTATTGTAAAAAACTTATAATAATATGACAAATATTTAAATTTAAAGAAAAACTCAACAAATGACCGCTGTTTATATGCCTAGAAATGATTATAACCATAAAAAGCAGTAGATATAGTATAGTAGTTTGTGCAACAAGAGTGGATAATGATGGCCATAACTCACGAAGTTTAAGTGCGATAGAGACAATCTACTCCAATCTTTTCATTGATGAAATTTTGAGGACACGTGTAATTAGGTACCTTTAAAAAAACTTGATGTTAAAGAAATTATTTCGTTTTTCATCCAGATGGCTGCAGAAAGATAAAATATTCATATAAAACAATCCAAAACAAAGCAACATTACAGAATATACAATTTCCTCTTCAATTCTCGAAGAACTATCTTGAAGACCCATAAAGCGTTCTAGTTACCGTCTTGCTCTTGCTAAAAAAAGACCAAGAAGAAGAAATAAAAATAAAAAGGTAAAATAAATTCTCAGTGATAAATATCTTTGTCCATTTGGCTTATTATGCCGATATCTTCATTCAATGTAAAGTGGATTCGCGAAGCTGGTCGTACTAACAAGACAGTGCGAGGTGGCGGTGTCAGTCAGACCGTAACGAAGAGGCGGCGGAACCGCCCAATGGGGCCGCGTTAACCTCGTACCTCAGCACACAATATGCCATTAACAAACCGAGATCTAGTACCGCTAAACATCGACTTATTCGGCATTTATTACGTAGTTTAGATCAAGGGACTACCTACAAGGTGGCAAGGCCTTACTGATAGCGTAATCAACATTGAGAAAAATATTATTTGTGTTTTTGTTTTTTGATTTTTTCTGAGGTATCTCAACAAAATATACCAGGCGACTGAAAAAGATTGTGATTTTTTTAAGGGTTGAAATACGTTTGACTAATGATCGAGATGAGGACAAAGTTATTATGTTGTTAAAAATTAAAAGGGTATTTGGATAATAAAAAAATTATAATAATAATAATAATACTTTCCCTAATTCACCTCCTTACGAGTGAATTTTAACCCCAAAAGCTGAGCTTGTGCGGGGAAAGTGACTGCTATTATTATTTGCCGTGGCGCTCCGGGGCGACTTAAAGATGATTGATGGTGCCATTTGACTTACAGGTGAGGAAAACCCGGAAAACCTCACCCACCATCATCGAGACGGTAATGTACGGCGAATTTTTTTTAATCTGCATGTCATATCAACAGAAATTGAATTTCTATTAATACGGCACACATCAGATCCTATACCGAACCATGCAATTTAATTAAAAATCCACATGGTCTGGTTGGGATTCGAAGCCCAGCAGTCTCTGACACATAAACTTGCTTATAAATGAATATAAGCGCGTTAGACCGCTACACCACCGTACCCGATGAAAAATGTTTAGTTCATTTAAATAATTAGTTATTTACTTTATCAACACTGAGAAAATTGTATCAGTTTAACAGTTAATTCTAAAATTATTATATTGCGCATTATTTAAATTTTTACTTGGTACAGCAAATCCTGTAACTAATTCAGTTAGTGTAACGAAATAATAAAAAAGAAAAGGAAATTGATTTTTTTGTGAAAAATAAATTAACATTAAAAATTAAAGAAACGAAAAAAAAGAGAAGAAAAGAAAATATATAGAAATTTTACGAGGAAGAAATTTAACAAAGAAATATTTTAATTTTAACTGACAAAAAAAGAAAATGCAAAAAGATAATTGAACTGTAAGCTCACAACTAGCTCAAAGGGAGTGGGTTTTCACTGCTTCGAATTCACAGAAGAATTTTGCTACTAGTAACTAGTACGAAAAGAACGGCAACAAGAAATTGAATAATGTGCAAAATTGTAGTTCAATGGGTAAATAATAAAAAAAAAAATGAAATAGATAGTATTTTATTCATTTTATCCTAAGATATGAGCTCTTTCTCTATGGTGATATGTAAGTTAAAGAAATATTACGGAACTTCCCTTCTCAACTTCCACGACGTCGGCTGGGCGGTCTCTCTGGAAGCAAGCAGGGCCTGGTGTTAGGCCGGTGTTCTAAGATTCGTAGTGGTGCTGTTCTGCAGCTGGCGATGTTGTTCTTTTCTTCCTGCAGGAAGAAAGGGATCCTTTCCGTCTTTAATTTCTTTCTTAAAAAAAAAACTTGAGTGGGTCTGTCTTCGAAATCTTTTTTAGAGTGCTCTAAATATTTTATTTCTAAAGTGTTAATGTGGGCTAGGTGGATCTAGGTGGACCTAGGTGGGCCTTGTTCTTGTTAGGCCTGCAAACATTCCAGGGGTCAGTACCCAACAAACATTGAAAGAAGCAAGAAAAGGAAATAATCGTGCAATTGGGGAATAAATAGAGAAATAGTGTTCTCGTAACTCAAAAATCAATATAAAAAAATGTACATAGAGTGGAATATATCTTGGGGTAAAAAAAAATGAGAATTTACTACTGGCTTTTACGATAATTTTTACTAATATTGTAATTTACGTTATTTATATAAGTGATTTTAAACATAATTATTGAAGTTAATTTATATATCACCAGATATATATTATCAAAGAAAGGTAATACTATTCCACACCGCCTTAAAAGCTAAAAAAAAAACTCTATAAAAACTATGATGTTGTTTCTTTTTTTTTTCTACTTTTCTACATTTGTTAATAAGTATAAATATACGAAAATATATTAGCAAAAGCAATTTTATGGAAGATTAAAGTTTATTATAAAATATTAAAGTTAAAACAAAAACGTGACAGAAGCAACTACAAAAAATATTATAATCGTGTACCTGTCCGAATTCTTTATTTAAAATATTTAGATTCAAAATTAATTTTTGAATATTGTGTTACGAGGGGACGGTAAAATTTACTGTAACAATAGATGTAAAGTTTATACCTTGGATAAAAAAACACATAAAAATCGATATTATATAAAAAACATGAGAAAAATGTAGATGCTGAGCTATATTTCCTGACGTGGCCCAAGCATTTGACAAGGTTTGATACGCTATCCTGATAAAAAAAATTGTTCCCTAGGCAATGGCAATATGTTGATATTCTTCAATCACATTAAGGGATATAATATTAACAGTAAAGCAACAGGAAATAATAATTAAATTAATAAGCTTTATATGGGGTGGGTGGCCCAGTGGTAGAATCTCTACCTGCGGATCCAAGGGTCCCAGGTTCGAATCCCACCGTTGGCCGGGATTTTTTTATTTAATTTAATTATTTAAAACTAATTCTGATGCCTTGGTAGGATTACCCACTCAATCATTCACTGTTAAGTTTTAATTAACAGTGCTGTTCCTAAAGTGGCGCTGGAAAACAGTAACAAAGTCTACACAGAACACAAGGTGAGATAACCTTAGCAGTTGAAGCCGATGACAAAAAAATAATCTTTATTGATCTTTTAAGGCACACATACTATGAATAAGTTAAGTCATCATATAAATAATTAAATAAAAATAAATAGAAAAAATTAACTTCATAACACAGTACACCATGATAATCCCTTATTTAAGCTAGGCAACCTTATACTCATCTAAAGAGTAGAAAACATCAGCTGCTCCTTAAGATCTCACTGGAAGCCTTGTGCGGTTTGAATATTTTTTATATTTGGGGACAGTTTGTAAAAGAGGAAAGAACCACCATAGTATGGTGATTTTTTGTAGCTTGTATGGTTATGTTTTTTTTAAAACATATTTTCAGTATTTCTGGTATTATACCACTGATCTGTATTATTTTACTGGATAGTATATAGGCTGTATTTGACATATTAAACATCCGTTCCACTCAGAAGTGCAACACTGCTGGCCGATTTGGGCAAATTATGGTGGGATCACATGATGGGATAATTTGACATACCTAACCTATAATTTGATTAAGTTTTCTTCTTATTCTTCTTCTATTCCTTTTGCGGGGGCGATG